TTTATGTCCAAACTGTTCAAATCCCCTCCACAAACAATTACAGTGTCTGGATATTTGTCCAGAACGTCGTCAGAAATATTTATCAAATAATCCAATAAAGTCGCTCTCCAGATAATTGTGCCTAGGTGGGTGATAAAGGCCATATATCAACATGTGGTTTCCTGTAGGTAACAGAAGTGTGACACCAATAAGTTCGTACAAACTGGATCGATAAATATCAATAGCTTTTAAGTTGTTCCGAACATATATTGCTACCCTTCCTTTTGCTCTCATAGCGCGTCCTTCCCAACTTCCATCTCTTCTAAATATTGAATAATTATGAATGGTCACCACAGCATCTGGCATTTTAGGTTTCAGGTGACTCTCGCTCTCCACACATACATCTATATCGTTATTGACCAAATCTGCCTCCAGTGCAACTACAGCTCGTAGCCTCGTACTCGATTTTTGTTTTTGCCAAACTACATATATTGATGAACATAAACTTAGGAACAGCAAAACCCGGCGAATGTAATGTAATACGAAACATGCACAACACATTTGACAGGTGATTCAGAAATTTGACCGTTTTCCGCCGCCGAATGAAATTTCGCCATAAATCATCACAATTTTCATGGATTTGTATTAAAATGCCACGAAAAGAAAACGCGTACGAGAACAAAGAACTATTGTGCGCGTAATGCACTATATATAAGAAGAGAATGACAAACTGAATTTATAAGTGGCTGCTGCCGGCAGCGCAGGAGTTAAACTACCGATATAGACTCGATTAATAGCGCATGTAACAAAAGTATTATATCACTACACAAAAAATAAACATTTTAATTATTAAATTTTCCGCGAGTCAATCGTGTAAATTAAAATTTTGCAAGTAATGTTTAATTTGCACACTTCTTAGACCTTTTGAACCAGTTTCGTATTATTATATTTTGGTGTTTAAAATATACTGTTGCTATTCAGTATTAAACATGCGAAGATTGACTGCATTTCTTTATTTTTACAAAAAATTGACTGAATATAGGAATTTTTTGTCCAAGACCACCATAAGCGCACTTATTTGGGTTACTTGTAATTCGCTTGAATGCAGTTAAAATTAAATTAATAAAGGGAAAATTTTGCCAGGTAAATTTTTCAGTGGTTGTGGCATTAAGTTAATGTTGTGACCAAACTTAATTTACCCTAAGATGCTTCTCGTCCTTATTCTGTTTCAATTCCGCGTTTTATCCTCATTTGCGGAATCCGCGTTTTATCCTCATTTCCGGAATCCTCTTCCGGAATCCACTTCCGCATTCCGGTTCCGCGTTTTATCCCAACCCGCTTTGAAACGTTACTCCATATTTACTCGTTTAAGCGCGGCGCCGCTCAATCGGGGCGGGGCTCTTTAAAAAATATTTTATTTGTGAATTATGACAAGAAGTTTTAACTATAAAATAGACAAGTTTTGAAAGGTTTTTATCACTAAATGTCCCAATTTTGACGGCGGAAAATTTTTTACACTCTTTAGCGCGGCGCTCATTCGGGGGCGGCGTTCTTTAAAACAAATTGATCTCAAATGCGGCACTCATTCGGGGGCGGCGCTGAATCGAGTAAATACGGTATATGGGTCCGATCTAAAATTAATTAAATGTCGAATTTTAATTGCGCCGAATGAATTTATTGAATTATACATGCATGTAGAATGCGACGTTTAAATCTATTGTTGATTTAAACGCCGCATTTTACATCAGTCGAATCTAATGCATAAATTATGCTGTAGAAATATTTAATTGGACGTTTTTCAAAATATGGATTTTATTCGCACGCGCGTGCCACGCACTATACTTGACCAATAAGGAGCACCCGTCTCTGCTTTCTCCAATTGCCAAGAGGTTATTTACTGCCATATCTATTAAAAGTCTTTATTTTCTGTGCCGAATGACGTTTGATAGCAATAAACGTAAAGCTTTTTTCTCTTACCAACTTCATCCGCCATATTGTCAGTTTGGATTTGGCGGGCTTTAATTGCAATTTAAGAGGCAATTTTTTTCAATGTCGCGTATTTGCGATGCAAAGTGTTCAAAAACCTAAAATCTTTTTGGCGTTCCTCTAAAAATTACTTAGTTTTATAATTAGCTTTATCATTTTAAACGTGTCTGGCGGTTGAAAAACATAATATAATAGTAAAAAATACAATTATCATTAAATACAATTATCATTGATACTGTAAAATTGACGCCATATTTAATATACAGCAATATAAGCAAAACTTACTGAATTTCAGACATCATTTTCTCTTTGGCGCCATCTAAAACCTCTTGATATATTTTAGCATAAATTTACAGATAAAGCATCAGACATACCGTTTAAGTTTGTTTGCCGCCTGAGAAAAGGATCAAACATTCAGTAAAAATGGAATATAGTAGCCTAACATCCAAGCGGAAAAGCATAGTCATTAGTTTTGAGCGCGTATTACGTGACATGGCAAAAGTTGTTTTTTTCTGTTGGTGTTAGGTACTCAGGTGGATATGATGTTTGTGATGTTATAGTCTGAGTGTACATCCAGTTATCCACACAGGGCAGAGCATTGGGCTAGTATTCCAAAGGTCGTAGGTTCGATTCCCACCGTGGCCAGGCATGTTTTTCAAGCTTTCCCGGGGGTGGATATACACTCAGAGAGGCATCATAAACATCATAGAAAAGATTCTCCTCTTATTTAAATTGGACAATTAAAGTCTGAATTAAAATTTGAAAAATGTCAATTGAAGTCGACTCGAATATGTATTTGGTTTGACGCATGTATATATAAAATGCATCGTTTAGACTTGGCCTATTGATATTGACATTCAGGATATGAAAATTGACAAGAACAAAGAAGAAATCCTGTTAACTCGTTAAGAATATCGTTAAGAATCACGTTTAAGGTGCATGATGAATAATTTAAAACATCATGCACAAAACAAAACGATTCACTCATTGAATGCTATATAATTTGAGTTCGTATGTTAGCCCGTTATAACAGTTGATCAGGTTTTGCGGTTTACTGAAAAATGAACATAACAAATATAACAAGCAGTAATGCGAAGTTTTTCAAAACATGCTACATCGTGAACGACCAAGCCCAAGAAATCACTGGATTCCCTACAAGAGGAAGCATGGTTATTCATATCTTCGCTGTGATTTTTGCAATTATCCTAACATTTGCAACGGTTTTCCTGAACGGCATTACAGCCATCACAATATGGCGTTCGAGAATACTGAAGCAAAAAACATCCAATTTCACTATATTACTACAATTCATCGTCGATCTGGCAAATGGAGTACTCTTCATGCCTTTGATGACTTTTCGCTTCGCAAACGAGGCTGTAGGCGGAACAAGTTGTGCTGTCGCAATCTTTCTCAAAAAATTCGGGATGCTCATGTTCTTCTACACACTAACAACGCTGTCTGTTATGAATTTTGATAGATATTTATGCACAGTGCACCCATTCTGTCATCGAGACGTGGTTACAAACACCAAACTGCTGGCATACGTAATCTCTATTTGTAGCGTACAAACCATCATTTACGGTTTCAGCTTAACCCATAAAGAAATAACAGCTCCAATACTGTCTACAACTTCGATACTCTTCATTTTAACGACAGTTTTCGTGTATGTAAAGATTTTCTTGACAATTCGCGACACGAATCGGATGCGAGCGGCGATGATAGCGGCGGAACGAGGCGATGCGTCCACAAATGCATCAGAGAAATGAAGCATGAGCAAAGGACGCTTTCTCAAAGAAATCAAAGCGGCTAAGTCCACTTTTCTAATAGTAATGTGTTGCCTTGTTACTTTTGTTTCTGTAACGCTTTCGTTTGGTCATTTAGACGTGAAGTCAAGTTTCAAAGCAATTGCGATTAAAACTTGGTTCGTTCTTCTCGCTATGTTAAAATCGACATTAAACCCTGTAATATACTTTTGGACGAATGCTATGCTACGGAAACAAGGCAAAGATCAAATAAAAAACATTTTTTCAAGGAAACGTTCTTAAATTGGCCGTTAGCTGGTAAAACCCAGATTAAACTTTAGTATATAAAAATTAAAGTTAACTTTCCTTTGATTACTTGTGGGATCCATATTGAAAACAGCCCGCTGTGGCGTACATGTATATCTACTGAATTACTGCACCAGGAAATAAAAGGCAATAAGGCATTTTAATACTAACACACTTATTAATAAGTTCTGAAGCTTTTAAAATGCTTTTTTACTTCGCATTGTTCTGACGTTTTGAAATTGTTTAAATACCGTAATAAAAGATGCAAATTTGAAGATACAAAAATAACACTCTAAATAGTGTTTTTCATCATAAAGATACGTTCGAATTGGGGCTGAATTTATGTTCGGCGACTGAGGTATGGCTAGTTTATATTTTTTTAATCACAAGACAAGATACAAGATACAAGAGACAGCACAGAACAGAACAGAACAGAACAGAACAGAACAGAACAGAACAGAACAGAACAGTACAGCTAGGCTAAATTTTTCTACAAAAGGATATGGTAAAAACATTGAAAGTGCCCTGCCATTACTGCACCAGGAAATAAAAGGCAATAAGGCATTTTAATACTACCACACTTATTAATAAGTTCTGAAGCTTTTAAAATGCTTTTTTACTTCGCATTGTTCTGACGTTTTGAAATTGTTTAAATACCGTAATAAAAGATGCAAATTTGAAGATACAAAAATAACACTCTAAATAGTGTTTTTGATCATAGAGATACGTTCGAATTGGGGCTGAATTTATGTTCGGCGACTGAGGTATGGCTAGTTTATATTTTTTTAATCACAAGACAAGATACAAGATACAAGAGACAGCACAGAACAGAACAGAACAGAACAGAACAGAACAGAACAGAACAGAACAGAACAGCTAGGCTAAATTTTTCTACAAAAGGATATGGTAAGAACATTGAAAGTGCCCTGCCATTACTGAATCCGCTAAACGTTTTATCAGTTGATAACGTGTCAGTTAAACTTCATGCGCTTCAATTTTGTCAATTATGCATAAAAATCAGTTGCCATCTAGTTTTGACATTTGCAACAGACGTGCATTCTTACAATATACACGGTATGCACAAAACCAAAACTTTTATAAACCACCTGTAAAAACAAACATTCGTTAAAGTCTCTGGATGCTTTCTCCTCAAAAAAGTTAAAGAATATAATTATACCATTCGAACAACATGAAAAAAATTATTATTTTTTAAATTTTGTCTCCAATTTCCCTTAATTATTTTTCTAATATATATATATATATATATATATATATATATATATATATATATATATATATATATATATATATATATATATATATATATATATATATATATTCAACCTAATACGCATGATCTCTGCATGTCACAGATTTAAATCAGCGCAAAGGCCTATAGGCAATTGTGTCCCAAGCTCACTACCAGCAACTGCGGACAGCTGTTTCGCCCTTTTGAGGCTCGTCAGCGCAGTGTAGCTGATAGTGAGCTTTTCATCCGAAAAGTATTTATAAAACCAACAATGAGATGATGACGTGGGACACATAAATTATATATACGACAAGAACACCCCGTTCTGTTATATATATATATATATATTTATATATATATATATATATATATATATATATATATATATATATATATATATATATATATATATATATATATATATAACAGAACGGCTACGTTTGAAGAAGTTTATTAAAAAAAGGTATATTAGATACAAAAACTAAATTTTCGGCTGCATGCCACAGCCTTCTTCAGAGTGCCTAGCTTTACACAGAACATACTTATATACAATAAATTATGAATAAATTACTATTGTTGGGCGAAATCATGACTACCATTAAGGCCGTTCCGGTTGGTCAACAACATTCCTATCCAAAAGTTTTCACTCTTAAGTACTTCACTATGGTGTTGATCAATAAGCATAAATTTTAAGCTCGAATGATCCGCCTCATGCACATCAATAAAATGATTAGTTATACTGCATGTCCGGCGCTTATGCTTAATGTGTGATTTGTAGTTAGCTAGTCTGGACTTAAAATTGGCAGTAGAGCCAACACCTTGCACACCACAAAGCACACACTCAGCAAGATACACTACATTACTGGAAGTGCACGTCAAAGTTTTTAAAATAAGAAATATCCTTCCAGTGGCAGCTGCACGAAAGGAATTGCCAAAAATCAAAAAGTTCTTACAACTATCACAGCGCTTGGCATCACATTTGTACATCACCTTACAGTTTATTAGGCTTATATCGGTTAGATACGAAACAAGAATGGCACTCTCCGGTAGAATGTTTTTAGCCTATTCATCACTATCTAAAACAGAGCGATGTTTACGAAAATTTTTTCGAAAATCAGGAACACTAGGATTAAACTTGGTAACAAAAACACAGGAATTACGACGAACTTTACGTCTACTAGTACGCCCTTCCTCACGAGTCATAGCACCAACCACCTCAAAGACTCTATTAACATGTGCACTGTCATGGCCGCAATCCGTAAGCGGATATTTCATATAAATCCTATACTTTTTCCCCAAAAATCAGCGTCCCTAGAACATATGCGGCGCAATCTCAATGCCATTCATTTGGCAATAGGAACGAGTGGAATTTCTTATTTTAAAATCTTTGACGTGCACTTCCAGTAATGTAGTGTATCTTGCTGAGTGTGTGCTTTGTGGTTTGCAAGGTGTTGGCTCTATTGCTAATTTTAAGTCCAGACTAGCTAACTACAAATCACACATTAAGCATAAGCGCCGGACATGCAGTATAACTAATCATTTTATTGATGTGCATGAGGCGGATCATTCGAGCTTAAAATTTATGCTTATTGATCAACACCATAGTGAAGTACTTGAGAATGAAAACTTTTGGATAGGAATGTTGTTGACCAACCGGAAAGGCCTTAATGGTAGTCATGATTTCGCCCAACAATTGTAATTTGTTCATAATTTATTGTATATAAGTATGTTCTGTGTCCAGCTAGGCCAGTGAACTCTAATAATAACTGGAAGGCTAAGTCAGGGGGGGGGAGTTGAAGCCGTGCTTGAAGCTTTTTTGTAGGTAGACCCAGTCCTTTTAAAATTTTTTTTTCAGAATATGCACATTATTTGATCAGAAAAATCTTGCCCCAAAATATTAGTTATACTACCAAATTTAATTTATATTAGTAGTATGATAAATGAATTTAATATTCACAAAGCAAACAAATCACGAATTAGCCAAAAAAATGCGAAAAACACGACCATAAGCATGAACGGTCTGAAAAACCGCGCGTTTTAGGCTGCTTTTTCAGAGTTTTTGGAAGATTAAGATAAAACTAAGACGTCACACCTCAGGAATTTTTTATACCCATGCAAAATACATCTGTATGCGAAGTTTCAAGAAGATTTAACGTTTCAAGAAGATTTAACAGAAAGTACACATTTGCGATCGCAATTTGCAACGTCGTATCTTGGACTTATTTTGACAATTTCGACTGTTATTCAGACTATTTAAATTGGATTTCATCCTAAATAGTATATTCCTGACATGGAGACAATTTTAAGCAAAGATTTGCGGGTTGCTAGGAGATATTTTATTACTGTGTGCTTTGACTATTGGCGAATTATATATCTATATATTTCAAGCAACATGAATCATGATTTCTCAATTTAGACCGATGCATTCGCATCGCTGGCATCGGTCTGGATCCGCCCCTGGAGGAACCTTGTCCTCAGTGTGAAGAACATTGTCCTCAGAGTGAGGAACCTTGTCCTCAGTGTGAGGAACCTCGTCCTCAGAGTGAGGAACCTTGTCCTCATAATGAGCAACCTTGTTCTCAGTGTGAGGAACTTTGTCCTCAGTGTGAAGCACATTGTCCTCAGAGTGAGGAACCTTGTCCTCACAGTGACGAACATTGTCCTCAGAGTGAGAAACCTGCTTTCAGAGTGAGGACACTTGTCCTCAGAGTGAGGAACCTTCTCCTCAGAGTGAGGAACCTTGTCCTCAGAGTGAGGAACCTCGTCCTCAGTGTGAGGTACCTTGTCCTCAGAGTGAAGCACCTTGTCCTCAGAGTGAGAAACCTTGTCCTCAGAGTGAG